TACTTCTTTTGAAACTATTGACTGGGGGTCCCATAGACCCTCAAACAGTACTAGGTATTGGCCCTGCTTCTGGCTACTTAACCAGAATTTGACAGAATGACCCTGTTGCTGAAGGCACTACATTCATGAGCTGTAGAAGCAAGGAGAAATCAAGCTGGTGCTAACTTGAAAGCTTCATCTCTACTGGCTAGCTTTCATAGTGCTAGAAGGTGCTATGCATGCTGCCTGATGAGAAAATTTATCATCAACCTTACCCAGCTGTGAATCCTGTGAACTACAATGGCAGTTGGCCTGGCAAAATATGCCCACTAGTCCATTAGTGGCACAAATATGGGAGTAACCAACCACTTTCCTCATTGAACTTAAGGTCTGCTTCATAAGATGGATCTCATACCTGATACTGATATCAGGCCTAGGAACCTGAAGCTGGACAGGCCACAGGCCATAAAGAAGAGCCTAATACTATTATTCTGGTAAATAGATTAGTATTAAACTGATTCCCAATGGCTTATTATTATACCCATAGATTAATGCATTTCAACTCTCAACAGAGAAGCTTCCTTATGCAGCAGATGGTGGTTAAAACAGAGACCCACAACTGATCAACGTGTAGAGAAGAGGCTGCAGAGTGCTTATCATTGAATAGGACACCTATTTCAAATTTCCGCCTCCCAAGGCTCAGGAATCATTACAGAAGAGAAGGCAGAAAGATTGTTAGAACCAGAGGTGGTGGATGACCACAAGGAAACAGTTTTCCAGACAGCTGGTCAGTAACTCATATGAACTCACAGCAATGGTGACAAAATGTGCAAGCCCCATGTAAGCTCAAGCCAGACAAAATCCCTGCATAGATGTGGAGAAGTGGGTAAGAAACCCCAACCCTACCTGACAACTGTTGCCAAGTTATGACTGCTGGAAAAGGGAGAATCAGTCTCATTGAAGGGTGAGACTCTTGGTAGGTTGACCAGGCTCCAGTGGATGAATCCACACCAAAGAGCATTTGGGGACACAAACCTAACTCTGTGGGCCAAGTCAAAGACGCATGAACTTCCAGGAGCAGGGAACCAGGTCCATCTGATTGTCTTGATTCAGTTTGTTGAGTGCACGCCTTTAATCCCAGCATTCAGGAGGCATAGGCTGGACGATCTTTGTGAGTCCAAGGCCTTCCAGGCCAGCTGGGGCTAGGAGGAGACCCTGTCTCAAAAAGAAAAAAGTAGAGAAAGACAGCTGAGCACAAGAGGTATGCTTGTGGCGGGGAGTGGGGGCAGTCATTCACTTGGAACCCATTATTTTCACTTGTTAAAAGGTAATGACAGCTATTGCTTTGCTTTTTGCTCTTAACTGTGGATATGACCAGTTGTTCCAAGTTCCTGCCTTGACTTCCCCACAGTGATGGACTGTAACCTGGAATTGTGAGCCAAAATAAACTCTTCCCTAAGTTTCTTTTTGTGAGGATAGTTTCACAGCAACAGAAATGAAACTAGGACAGAATTATATCCTCATCAGAAGAGATGTTATTCCTACATTACAGATGAAGAAAATGACACAGAGACCACTGCGCACAGAGACCCATCTAGTGAGAGACGGAGCCAGAATTGAGACCCTGGTCTGATTCCAGAGCCTGCCTGCTCTCCTGACCACCATAGTAACTGGATCTTTTCTATATGGAAGTGCAATTGCTTTGATTATTCCTCTTTCCAAAGGCTTTTACTTTAAAAACCTTAATTATTGCCATTTTGTTTTTATTAGTAGAGAAAGAAAGAAAAAAAAAAAAAAACCTGAATTGGTGTCTTAGTTACTTGTCTCATTGCTGGGACAAAATACCAGAAAAGCATTTTAAAGGAGGAAGGGCTTATTTTGGCTCACAGTTTGAGGGTACAATCCATCACAAAGAAGGCATGGTGGTAGGAATATGAGGCAACTGGTCACATTACCTCCACAGTCAGGAAGCATATAGAGAGGAATGCTGCTGCTCACCTCGCTTTCTCCTTTCTTATTTAGTGCAGGATCTCTGCCCCTGGAATGGCGCCATCCACATTCAGGATAGGTCTTCGCACCTCAACTAACCTAATCTAGATAATCCTTCACAGACATGCCCAGAGACTTTTTCATTGTAATTCTTTTTTTTTTTCCAACTTTTTTTTTGAATTATTTTATCTGTATGAGCATTATGCCTGCATGTGTTTTAAGTGCATCCATATCATTCAGTGCCCATGGAGGTCTGATGAAGGTGCCAGATCCCCTGGAACTGGAGTTATAGACAGTTGTTAGCCATCATGTGAGTGCTTGAATTCAAACATGGGTCTTCTGCAAGAACAACCAGTGTTCTTAACCACTGAGCCGTCTCTCCATCTCCTGCCCCTTTTCATAGTAATTCTAAATCCCATTAAGTTGGCAATCTTGATAACCATCATGGATAAAGTTAGTTAAGCATTTCTTGAAAATGATTTTCAAAATGAAATAAGCTGCATATGGTTATATCTGTTTTCCCAGCTTGAGAGTGAGACAGAAGGATCACATAAATTTGAGACCAGCTACACAGTAAATTTCTGAGCTCTATGGTGAGACTGTCTCAAAACAAAGAAATAAAGAGTCATAAAATAACCGCTCAGAATGAAATTAATCTTTTATCAAAAAATTTTCTTTTTTTAAACCTGGGGCTGGAGAGATGACTCAGCAGTTAAGAAGCACAGCTGCTCTTGCAGAGGACCCGGGTTCAGTTCCCAGCACCCACATGGCGGCTAACAACCATCCTAACTCCAGTTCCAAGGGATTTGAATGCTGTTTTGACCTCTGCAGGCATTGCATGACATGGGCACACTTACGTACATGCAGGCAATAACTCATACATATAAAAATAAGTTTAAAAAAAAAACCTTTAGGACCCGAGTGTGGTGGCACATACCTTTAATCCCAGTACTCAGGAGGCAGAGGCAGGCAGATCTCTGTGAGATCGAGGCCAACCTGATCTAGCTCCAAGCCAGCTGGGGCTACAAGGAGACCCTGTCTCAAAAAGACAAATAAAAACAAACCCCACCTTTTAGGGCTGGGAATACCAGCTTCATGATGAAGTACCTGCCTAGCAAGTGTGAGGCCATAGGTTCAGTCCCCCTCAAAACAAGAATCTTTTAAAGGAAAATCTTGTAAGTTAACCCCATGACGCAGATGGCACTATAAAGACTATCTCATACACTTCGTTCCCAAAAGGGAGTAGAAATAGAACTGGCATTGTGCCTACTATGCATTAGGTCCTACATGTTAGGGCTGACTGTGATCTATACACTTAAATCCCGTTGTAGTTTCGTAATTAATAGCTGCCATTACCTTTTTTACAAATGAGAAAAAGTATCAATCTATAGGTCCAAAGTTAATTATTTCTCTTCAGTTAGTATTTGGGTATGTGTGTATGATGTAGGAGGGCATATACATGCTAAGGCATACATGTGGAAGGCAATGGAGAAATTTGTGGAAAGTCAGTTCTCTCCACCTTTATGTGTGTTCCAGGGATCAAACTCGGTTCTCTAGGCTGTGTGGCAAGTGCTTTTACCCACTGATCCATCTCACTGGCTCTATAGGGAATTCTTTGTCCCCAAAGCTCTCAGTTTTCATATAAAATGCTAGGATTTAAAATGCATGCTTAGAGTTTTCCTTGGACTATCTGAGGTGAACATCTCTATGTACTCTTTTCCAGGTTTTTGCTGTTTCTACTCAACACAGTCACACCTTGAATGCTAAGTGGAAGACCTTAGAACATCTGTAAAGCTAGTATCCTGATGAAGAGCCCCAGTGGGGCACACCTGGGCAGGAGATGAGATTCAGCCACACTTGTACACTTGTACTGGTCCTGTGTGAAAGTCTTGAACCTTGTCCACTATTGGGTTTAACTTTTCATAGGACTTGGCAAAGGCCTACTTGTAGAAACTATTAGAGCAAACATAGATGAGAGAAGGGCCAATCTGACAGCAAGTCCAACTTTCCAAGCAGATATAACTATTAGTATGTTCTGACCCAGCCAACTTGAAGTTAGGTGTACTCCTTAGGGAAAGAAGTGTTATAGGTATGAACCATATTAGATAGATTCTCTATACGTGAAGTTCAGAGTTTTGCTGAGCTAATAGACTGCTGCCTCTAAACCCAGAAGGAGCCTTCTCACTTGATGAGTAGGCCTTTTGTGTTGAGTTACAGTAGTAGCCTGGATCCACACCAGGTGATGTTTTGGGGCATCTCAGAAATGCAGATCCTGTAGCCAATGTAGGATATGGGAACATGAGTGGAGTACCACACAGTGGTCCATCTCAGGATCTCTCAAAGTCTGAAACTGTAAAACCTTGACCCATCAGGCTTACACCCTTAGAATTCTCATCAATATCTGGGGAAGGTTTTTTTTTTGTTTGTTTTTTTTTTTTTGATGTAGAACTGCTCTATTTGAATAGGTGAGAGTGCAGACCCATTGAGGTTTGTGCATTTATTTGAAATGGCTTCATTTGACCTCATTAAGACTGGAACATTTTTCTTTCTACAGCATTTTATTCATTTGTTTGGGTTTTTTTGTTTTTGCTTGTTCAATTGTTTTGGGGACAGAATCTCACTATGTAGTCTGAGCTGGCCTGGAGCTCATGATTCCTTCCTCAACCTCCTGAGTTCTGGAATAATACCTGTGTGTCACCACACCTGACTTTTGCTTCATTTTAAAATAAACAAATGGAGATTTTGAAGATGCCCAAAATAGTAATAGTTTACATCTTTATTAACAGAAAATGATTTGGGGGCCAATGAAATGTCTTAACAGGTTAAAGGAACTTGCTGTCAAGCCTGACTACCTGGGTTTGATCCCTGGAATCCACATCAGCAGGAGAGAACTTCCTCAAGTTGTCTTCTGATTTTCACACATACACCATGGCATACGACATATACATACAGACATATAAATAAAAAGTAAAATATTTTTTAAAAAGTGATTTGGGGTGCTGGTGAGATGGCTCAGTGGTTAAGAACACTGGTGGTTCTTGCAGAAGACCTGGATTTGAATCCCAGCACCCACTGGCAGCTAACAACTGTCTGTAACTCCAGTCCCAGGGTATCTGACAGCCTCTTCTGACCTCTGCGGGTATTGCACAACGTGGGTGTACTTATCTACGTGCAGGCAATACATACACATAAAAATAATAAAAATTGCCAGCTGTGGTGGCGCATGCCTTTAATCCCAGCACTCGGGAGGCAGAGGCAGGCGGATCTCTGTGAGTTCAAGGCCTGCCTGGTCTACAAAGTGAGTTCCAGGACAGCTGGGGCTACAGGGAGACCCTATATCAAAAAGACCAAAAAATAAAAAATTTAACTTTAAAAAAAAAAATGATTTGGGCTAGGAATGTAGGTTGGTGGCAGAACCCTTGCCTAGCGTGTACAAAGCCTTCAGTTCAATCCCTAGTACTTTAAAAAAACACTTAAGCAGTTGGTTCAGGCCCCCTTATAGCACATGATATATACTCTGTAACTACTCTGCCCCTATTGCTTCTCTGTTCTCATCTAATACCCCTCCAGCTCCAGTACCTACTGTCTAGTTTCCTGATCATATGCACACAGCGTGTCCATGCCTAAGGGCTTTTGCACTGCCTGTTCCTTGATCCAGAGGACACTACCTCACCCACACATCTTGATCCTTTGCTTCCTCCAGGTCTCTTTTCAAATGTCACCTTACCTATGAGGCCTTCCCTGACTATAGAAGAACAACAACCATTCCTTGCTTTGTTTCCCCTTAATCTACTTTATCGTTCTTCAGAGCATTTCACAGCATTATAGATCCCCCATAAGAGCAGGAGCTCTGTTCACTTTTGTGTCCTTCCACAGCCAGAACATGGTAACACAGTGCACAGTGCACACTCAATAAACTGAATAATCACTGCATTAATCAATGGCCTTTCTTCCATTCATCCACTAATTATTTCAACAAACACTGAGCCCTAATATCTGTGAGCTATTACTGAATGGCAGAGAACCGAAGATCAGTAAGAATTTATTTAATAAAGTCACTCCGAGGGAGGGACTGATAAACAAACCTAGCTTAAAATGCAGTGTGGTGGGCTTTGTGGATACACAACTGGAGATCTGAGAGTGATTCATGGAAGGTGAGTGATAATTATGACTTGTTACCATGTAGTGAGCACTTATGTGACATCTTTCTGCTAAGCAATTACATATAGCATAATTCAGTGGTGTTATAATGTAAGCACTAATGTCCCTTTCAGGAATGAAAAAGCTGATTCAAAGAGTCATACTCAGGCTTGATGGAACTGAAATTCAAAAGTGGTTCTCTCTGATTCTGGAGCTCATTCTTTATATGTTGGACAGACAAAGAGAATTAGAATCCCAAACCCAGATGCTGTTCAAGTAATGCCTGTCTGCATCCTTCTCTGTATCCATCCTCTATTGATTCTGGGATCCCTGCTGAAAGCCTATGAGTATGAACAGATTCCCAGGTTCCTAGACGTACCTGCTGTTCTCACATGCCCAGGTTTAAGGACCTCAGGTTGCCAGACTCTGGGACAACAGAGGGCTACTAGTGCTAACACATTTCTCCACCTATAATGGGCACAACTCAACTAGATTTGCTATTCCTCCTCATGTTCTCTACATCTAAGGAGTGCATATTCCTTCCCTGGAATTCCTTCTCTTCTCCCTTCTAACCAGGAATTAGAGACACTGTGGCTGCAGACCTGTGCTCTGAAACCTTCCTCCTCCTTAGACTTATAAGGAGGGACCCTACACTTAAGGGCCTGGACTCTCCTCAGAGCTCCCATCTTGTTTGCCTGTCCATGGTGTTAATGCTTACAGTAAACTTTTTTTTTTTTTTTTTTTTTTTTTTTTTTTTTTTTTTTTTTTTTAAAAAAAAAGAGGACGATAAATCTTTCACTGTGATATATCAAAATAATGGCCTCGAACTCACAGAGGTCCTCCTGCTTCTGCCTCCCAAGTGTACCACCACACTGGGCTCAGTACTCCAAAGGACAGTACTCCTCAGTATCCATCTCGAATCCCAGACTATGCTGGATAGCTTTAGTGTCAACTTGACACACCTGGGTTGAGGGAGCCTCAATTGGGGAATTTCCTTCATTGGACTGGCCTGTGGTCATGTCCATGGGGCACCTTCTCGATTGTTGAATGATGTGAGAGGGCCTAGCCCACTGTGGGTGGTGCGGTCCCTGGACACGTGGGCCTGTGTTGCAAAAAAAAGTAGGCTGAGCAGGGGCCAGAGGAGCAAGCCAGTAAGCAGCATTCCTCCATGGCCTGTGCTCTAGCTCCTGCTTCAGGTTCCTGCCCTGAGTTCCTAGCTTGGGCTCCCTGATGAACTGTGACCAGGGAGATGTAAGCTGAATAAACCCTCTTCTCCCCAAGTTGGTATTGGTCAGAGTGTTTTGTCACAGCAATGGAAGGACAACAAAAATTGGTACCAGAGAGTGGGATATTGCTGTGACAGACCTGACCTTGGTATTTTGGGGATTGTGGAAGCGTTCTGAACTTTGGACTGGAAAAGCCATTGAGTGCTTAGAGTTTGTTGCTGTGGACCTTGAACAATTATGCTGAAAGAGTTGTGAACAATGGAGGCCTGGCTTGTGAAGCTTCAAACGGAAGCAGAGACTATCAGGGCTGTTTGTGTGATGTTTTGAATGGAGAATCTGTGGGTTCTGGTCAGCTGGGGCTGAAGAATCATCTGTGATTCAGAAGAGACCAGAACCTGAAGTAAAACCTTTGCTTTACTGGGACAATTGATGCTGGTTAGCTGGGGCTGAAAAATCAGCTGTAAGAAGAGACCAGCATTACCCTGGAGAAATCTGGGAGGTATTTCCTCAGCATTAGCACACAGAAGGGACCCCAACCTCCGTCTGTAGCTGGAAGCAGAATTGCCATCATTGGACTGGCCTGTGGCCATGTCCATGGGGCACCTTCTTGATTGTTGAGTCATGTGGGAGGGCCCAGCCCACTGTGGGTGGTGCCATCCCTGGGCAGGTGGGCCTGTGTTGCATAAGAAAGCACGCTGAGCAGAGGAGCAAGCCAGTAAGCAGCATTCCTTCATGGCCTGTGCTCCAGCTCCTGCTCCCAGGTTCCTGCCCTGAGTTCCTAGCTTGGGCTCTCTGATGAACTGTGACCTGGGAGATGTAAGCTGAATAAACCCTTTCCTCCCCAAGTTGGTCTTGGTCTTGGTCAGAGTGTTTTGTCACAGCAGTGGAGAGACAAACTAAAACAGACCAAAGACCTTTCAGGGAGGATTGTGAGCAGAAGAAAGGGTATATCCCAAGGATTGAAACTCATATATACAGGGAACTGTAGGAATTCCATAAATATGGAAAGAAGGATACACTTCATTTGAAAGGTACTCTTACATGCAAGTTTGGTGTGGTTTGCGTATGGTTTGAGGGTGTCCCTTAGGGATTTATGTTTTGGGAACTTGGTCCTTGGTGTGACAATGTGAGATGAAGAGAACCACTTAAGAGGTGGGGCCTAGAGGAAAGTAATTAGGTCGTTAGGGCATTGTCCAAGAAAGGGATTAATAAAGTTACTGCAAAACCCAGGTGAATCTTATCAGAGTGGGTTATAAAGAGACCAAGTTGGGAGTGTTTCTCAGTGGTAGAGCACTTACCATGCATGTAAGTTCTATCTCCAGTATCACAAAATTAAAGCAGGCTGAGTTGTAGTGGTGTGTGCCTACTAATCCTGTCACTCAGGAGGCAGAAGCAGAAAGATCATGAGTTTAAGGCTAGCTTGGGCTACATAGCATGACTGTCTCAAACAAAAACACAAGAACAAGACTGGACACTGATTTTAAGGATGTAATCTTGCATCCCATGCTTCTGCCACAATGCCGTGTTCTGTGATGTGATGCAGCTAAGGGGTACACACTGGGGGCAAAGAGTTGAGTCCCCATCTTTCAGCATCCCAGACTGAACTAAGTCCTCTTTATAAAACATTTGGCTTCTAGTATTGTTTTAGCAACAGAAAATGGGTGAATGTGGCACAGGTTATTCATACCTGAATCTCTTTTTCTTCTTTACATGTTTCTGTGGAGTGAAAGCATGTGTGTATGCATGTTTGCATGTTATGGGTGCATGATTGTTGTGTAGTAATTTCCTACAAGTTGAAACATTCCATCTTAGAGGGAAGCTCATTAAGACGCAGGATGTTCTAAAAAGAAGCTCTAAGTCTCAGGAAATCTGCCCCCCTTTTATTGCAACACAAACGGGATAATCTTTCTTCCAGCGAATATACAAAACACGTTTTTGGGTCATGGGCAAGGAAGGGACATGAGACATATATGTTTAGGTTACAAGGAGAGCTCAAGGCTCAGAGAGCTCATCTACATCATAAACTAAAATAAGATTAACTTTTGTGCCCGCCAGTCTCCTCCTAGCCTGGGTCCTGTCCCATTCCTTGTCTTGGCACCCCGGACACCTGGGGAACCACCACTGCTTCCTGATCCTTTGCATCCAGACCAATTCAGTTCCTTCTCAGGTCCCCAGGAGCTCTCCAGGCTGGGCCCCGCCCTCACCTCCCTCTGCTTCCCTGAGCCTGCACAACACAGAGGCCTCTCCGGGGTAAGTCGATCG